CCTTAGGGCGGGAACCATGTATCATTGCAAGTAGCAACAATCCGCAGTATCAAGATAATATCTCATCAGGGCAAGGTTCTTTATATGTCGAAACCATTGATTTGTGCACCTATTTGGGTCCACCAAGAAGCGTGGAGTCCAGAGTCATCCAAGCAAACGCTGTCAAAGCCAACATTCTTGGGGACTACGCCGGGTAACTGCGTGAGGGGCATCTTAATCGAAAGATGTCGGGTATTTCACACGTTCACCCTGAAGCTCTAGCATGGTTCTTCGACACGATGTCTGCCTGTAGCCATGAAGTCGTATTCCAAAGTGCTTTCAAACTTAAAAGCCCAGACCACTACCAACATCATCATGGCTGCTGCGTAGCTGCTGCGCCGCTGCTGCCATTGACGCGGGAATGATCATCGCCGCCCCCAGCACTTCTAGTACCGCTTCGCAGCCGCTCACTCTTGCGGTTTGATGCGTTCGATCTTCATGTCTACTCCTTGACAGCAAGACACGGGGGGTCCTCGCAATGAGCTCCCTTGTGGAGTTCTTGCGATCACGGTAACTGTCGACTTCTGAAGACGGAGACCCTTATTCTGAGAAAGAATTGTTTGATCTAGGGTCGTCGCTGAGGCGGCCTAGAGCAATGCTTCAGATGACGGAGCCAGCATCTGAGCATTGGGGAACAGAATAGCCGGGGAAATCTGAATAGGGAGGATTTCTCTGGTGTTGTATGCTTCTGGCTTTCTTGTGTTGCTGTGCAAGAAGAGGTGCATGATCGATGTGTTGGGGGCTCTCTGCTGTAGCTGGACGGTGGAATCCCCAAGATTCCATCCTTTGAGTTTAGGGTGTTTGTCTTGGACGGAAAGCCCATGGATGAACAGCCAGGCACAAATCTTTGTCAATGAAATAGAGGACAGGGTTCATAGCACGTAGGTGTCAGGTGCAGGGAGAAGTTGTCTGAAGTAGCGCTGGTGATGTTGATTGTTCAGTTTGTCTTACCTTGTTCAATACCATTTTTTGTAGCTGTAAGAATCAAGGACTTAAAACGCTGGGAAAAGAGGCAGGCCGTGCCTGCCCAAACACTATGATGGCTCAGCATTGATTTCGGACACCCCGCATCTCTGTCAAATTGCAGAGTCCTACACTATCCCAACAAAGCCCTCCACTTTTCTCCAACTGGAGCTTACAACGAGATTTGTAGATTCTCCGATGCCGTTGGTGCCTCTCATTTGAAAAGATTATGATCCCCCGCGCTCCCTCATATTGAGCATCCCAAGATAATCCCTACAGTTATTCGGGGCGAGGTCCCCACATGGAGCCAGGCAAGTTACCTGGGACACACCAGGCGTACGAGCTCCGACTGCTTCTCGGCGAATTCCGGTGCCACACCTAAGAGGTAAACTGCCACCAAAGCCGTAGCCATGGTCAATTTTGCATTCCAGACCCTGCCTAGGCACGTTGAAACGGTTCATTGCGAATGCAGCCAGATCATCGGTGAATTTACGAGCTCGTTGCGTAGTCAACTCCGGAACCCAAACTTTCTGCGCGCATTTGGTGCTTAATCTAGTCAAGTGCTTAGGACACCTCAGGCAATCGACAAAAACTTCACGACAAGCAAGCCAGGAAGAGCACGCACTCCTCAATGACCAGCCGGCCCAGACTGAGCAAACTGGGCTTGGTGGCTCCTAGAGGGTGGAAGTGCTTCAGGGGCTCGGGCGACCACTCCAACGATCACCCAAGACTCAAAAAGAGACTCAAACTTCTGCTTTCCAACATCATGTCTACAAATCTCCTTTCAACCCTTTGGCAAGAAGGCTATGCCCTTTGATTCGGATGCCGCCTGAACCCCTTGGCTTCCGCCTGGCCTCGAAATACCCTAGCTAGCCTACAAAACAGGAATCCAAGCCCGATAGCGGCTCAGTAAGCGCTATGTTGAACCAGCATCTTTAGCAAACACTTCATGCTTTAAAGAATTTCGGAGTGCATTCAGGCGGCCCAGCCGTGGATCCATACATGTTCAGCGCTTCAAGTAGGATGCTTGCTGATCTTTGAGGAGTTCAGGATGATTCTGCTTCGAACTCTGGTAGACATGTGCAGCGGACGTGGGCGATCAGTAACCTGCCGCGCCAACCTACAGACTTTGCACCATGATGCAAGGATAGCATAACCGTGGAAGTGACATTCGTGCAGAGTAGAGGGTGCCCCATTTAGCCCAACGTGCGTTTTAGGCAAGGAGGCTTCGAACAGCGCCTCTAACTTGCTCAATGACTCATACCAAACTGGGACGGGCAAGCTATACAATCTGAACTATACCGTCAATCAAAAACCAGAAGGACACCTGCAAGAAACGCATAGCCACAACGGAAGACGAAGAAAAGCTTCCCAAAACGAGGGCCCTCAGGCCACACCCCTTAGAATGTGAGCGCGCGCGCCGTTTCACCAACCGGTTTCTCAAGGCCATGCGTTATCGGCGTTAAAAAGGTAGCCTTTCGGCTTGCAGGGGAAGATGTAAATGAAGGCTTCTGTCTTTAGTGGGGACTGTACATCAGAGAAAAATTAAATGGTTCCAACTTTGGTGCATGCAGGCAGTGCTTACACCTGGTCATTGACTCTGCCGCAACTTGAACCATCTCTCAGTAGGCTCAGCAAGCAGCAGTACAGACAAGTACGTTGCCGCAAAAATGGATCTCGAACTTAACATGTCTAGCCCTGATGCTGTCGGGAAGCTGGCTTTTGGGAATCCCTATGCTCGAAGTATCCTGAGGGCATCAGGGTGGTCTACAGGGCTTGCCTCCTAGCTAGTACGCCAGGCACCTTTGCTTTCACATCCTGCTCAGACTGCCACCAGCACTCAAATCTTCACTCCTTTGCATGATAAATCTGCAAGTAATCCGTGTCTGGCATTGTATTCAGAAGGTTCATCATTCATGGGCGGGGCCTTTGTTTTCGGTTGTGTTTTGCTTTACACCAATTTACTCCACAGAAATTCTGGCTCGCCACGCCTCTGCAAGCTTTGACAGTGATGGTTTTGTGGTTCTTCCGCTCAATGAGCAGGTTCAAGGCCTCAAACGCAAACTGGCAAGCGGCAAAGCTTTATGCAACCATCGGCCAAAAATCCGGGCTGAGGTTGACTGATATAGGGAGCTAAACCCTGAAATACGATCTTCTTGCGCCTTGTCTGGAATGCAGGTCTATGGACAGCATTGGCACCTTAAGACTCTGCTGTAACAAGCCTGAAACTCAACCTCTTCTCATGGTTTCCAAGCCCAGGGGAAAGCACATGTTCCAAGAGCTCTTCTGTCTGTCCCATTTTAGAACACCTGAAGGGGACATGTTGTTGTGATTCAGGCTCGTTGAGTGAGCCAGCATGCGCGAATCTTAGGTTCAAGTTGCAAAGCTTAGTTCCCAGGTAACGTGAGGCTGGATCCCCAACCTCAAGGAAGAAAATGTGGCTTGAATATGTAACCCTTATGGGTACCTTCCTCGTCCTCATGCCTACTCAACGGTTGCTTCGCTAAGCAAGGCCAAGTCATGTTAGCGTTCAAGATCCGTGCGCCGAACAAGACTTCTGCAAGCCAATGGCATCCATTTGGCGAGCAGTAGTGTCATTGGCAGCGAAGGTAGCCCGCAGGCGGGCACCAGAGACGGATACTTGGCAGCTAACGAGGAGTTCAACCAGTTGATTTGCACAAGCCGCGTAAAGCATACCTTCAATCACCCTCAGAGTCGGCTGATCACTCTTTCAGAATCTGTCACCAGCAAGTAAGGATGAGACACCCATGAATGGTTCTGCTGACAAGGCGGATTTGGAATCCGAGGAGTCAGAGCTGCCTCTGAATGGCGACGACGACCGCGACTTCGACTTTGGGGATCACAATGCCCAAAGAGCTCTTGAGGGGTTCATGGCAGCAGAGGGCGGAGTTGTGCGGTGCAACTGGCTTGACCCGGAGATTGTTGACGAGCGCTTGAGACCATATCGAAAGAAGGCTAGGACAGATCCCATCGCTGCTGAGGAGGGTGAGAAGGCCGGCCTTGCCCAGTTCCGCACAGCTGCAGGAGATGCCGCGCGCATCCAGCTGCGAGGACCTGTCTTTCCAGAGGCCGTTGTGAGGGAGAAGGCTTCGCATCCACCTCGATTGCGCGCGGCCGGCATACTGAAAGGGGTCGCAGAATCCTTAGTGAACCGATTGGCAGTGCTTCGCATTGACAATTTCCCCGGATCAGGCGACCCCGTGTTTGGCACGCAGCATGAGCTCCGCAGGGGCTTTCGGGCTCCGGACCTTTTCGGGGGTCTTGCGGCAGCCTTCCAGGGCCACGTGTGCTGCGGGCTCACGAGGCTGACGCTGCAAGGAGGTTTCCACTCTGCCGATTCTGTCGCAAATTTTTTGCGGCTAGCCAAGCCTCCTCTGCAGTCCTTCCGCTGCCGGGGTTGCCTTTTCCACGGGCGTAACTTTGAGATGCTTGTGAAAGCTCTGAGCTCGGTAGCTGCGGATCTCATAGAGTTCGAGACAGATGCTACCATTGGCGGCCAGGATCCCTTCGGCCTCATTGCCGCTTCCTTCCCAAACCTGCGCATGCTGCGTGCGAAGAACATTTTCGGCAGCACAAACTGCAGCGAAGGGCTGCAGAGGCTGGAGCAGCTCGAGAAAAAGCAGTGCAGATTGCCTAAGGACAGCCACAGGCTGTATGGGCGCCCAGCAGTGCACATGGAGACAGGTGTTGTGTACTGGGGCATCACATCCGACTATCATGACGATGGCTTCCACGGGGAGGGCATTTGGTGGGATGATTTGGAAATTCCACTGGAGAATTACATGGAGTGGCGTGTCGGCAACGGCGTAACCCAGGCCGGATGCCTCCAATTCATGGAAGAATGTGGCATCCAACTCTGGGCGGATCTCGAAGATGACGCGGTTGGCATCAACGACGCAAAATCGGAGGTTGTTGATTCTGATGTGGAGCCGGACCATGATTTTGCCTCAGATTTTCAGGTTTCTCATTCTATTCTAGATATTCGGGATCCTCAATAGGGGTCCCGCGATTTTGAAAAGCTCCCGAAAGGATTGCGTGGTCGTGCAGCTAGAGCTGATCAGCTCGTCTTCCGCGAACGAGGTGGTGATCACTGCCAGCTCATTGCAGGGCAGGCAGTTTGCCGAGGACTGATCCTGAGAATGTTAGCTCCAGATTTCTGCGAAGCTGTCTTTTGACGATTACCCAGGTGACTATGGATCCTGGCAAGATGCTGGTCCGGACTCTCGTGGACCAGCTATCTGAGAAGTACCCTTGCAGTCCATTCGCCACTTGCCGCTGGGTAGTAACGCATGATGGTATGAGAACCTCATGGTTTGTAGCTTAGCTACTTGCCTACCCATCCTACCCCAGTTCCACAACCTTATGAAGCTATAACAAAGCTCTTCTCGGCCCATTGCGGAGGCACAGAAGGTTCTCATCGTTCAGTCTCATTGCGGCTACTGACTATTGCCACTGATGCCACCGCTACTATTGCAGTGAGTCTTGTTGCTACTGGCCTTGTTCATACTGCAACTTATCATTACCAGTCATTGACATTCTTACTATTGCGCACTTCTTGGGCTACACCCCTTACATCCAGGCAATGCGCCTTGTACTCCCGGGCGGCTCCATGGTTTCATTGGAAGTGGGCAACAAGGTCCTGGCTTCGGTGCTGGCCTGACTTGGGCCGCCAACCAAATCTGTTTTAATCAGCAGATTTGCTGCAAGGGTCGAAGCGGAGCACGAGCATGCAGAACTGCATAGCATTCCAAAGCCCGAGACGCCTGCAGACATATTGAGCTTGCGGCAAGGTTTTATCCAGGCCAAGGTCTTGCGAGGAGGTGTTGATAAGATTCGTAGATTTCCCAAGAAGCCATCCCAAACTTTGAAGAGGTTGCGGGCCAGGTCCGGCGATATTGGGTTTGAAGACTAGGTTATCAGAATGGTCTCTTCAGGCATAGTTATGGAACCACCGTGATTCTGCCATATATTCAGCCATGCACTTGTCATGCGCGCATAAACTCTGAATGCAAATATTTGAGGCTGGAGGCACGGGCCGGCCTGGCCGCAACC